CTAAAGTAAGAGAGTGGGGAAGATGAAGAAATGTTTGTTTATTTTGATTGTTAAAAAGTGTCCGGGAAATTGACCCTTCCGGAAAAGGGACGTCCGGATATGGGACGTTACACTGTAATAACAACTGAAAAATACTGGATTTCAAATCACATGGAAAAGCGTCTAAATAACTGTTTAAAAAAACATTTAAATTCACGAGAAAATGGGCACAAAGAAACGTGTTTAAAAGTGATTATTATAATTTTATACAATAATTCATAATATTATTGTATAAAAAATATCAAGACTTTCAAAACTATGTAAAAATACGAAGTAATAACTCCCAAATAATAGCTTGGGATTCATAAATCACATCAAAAAGTGACTAATTAAATGCTTGATTGCTATCTCAGGAGTCAGAATATCACATTAAATGTATCGCAATTTTAAAAACAGCAGAGAGATCAGCAGTTGCTGAAAGCATGATTGAAATGTTACTTGGATTTATGATAAAATCGGTAAAAATAAAGTTAGTCAAAATTTTTTTATTGAAATTTGAAATTCGTGTATCAATATCGTAATTTAGATATTTGGCCTCTTTAACCATATAGAATTCCATACAATCTCTGCAGAAAAAGCAATAACGAGACATAAATTTACTATATAATTTGCAAAAATTCAGCGCTTTAAAGAGTGATGACTCAAAAGTGTAATTTAAAATTATCAACATTTTTTTTTAAATTTTATTTTAATTTTCATCATGTTTAGAGTGCCATATGTCTACATTCTAATATATGCAGCTCAGCAACAAACAAAAAAATATTTGTGAATTTCGGTTCCTATTCGTACACAACAGAAAAATAATCTTAGAGTACAGAAGTCAGCAAGATTTTATTTTTAATCACATGCTTTAGGCAAAGGAGGAGTTAAAATTAAAATTACATATAATGAATAAGACGATTTTTAAATGTGTTTCATTAAGCTGATTGTTTTTGTATTTTTATTTTTAATAATTTAACAAATTAACGGATTGGTTAAATTGCAAAACACCTTTTTACAATTATAATTACCGATTTTGTTTACTATTTAATATTTTAATATTAATATTTTACTTCAATTTAATAGTTTGGATTTTTGACAGTAATTGTCTAAACCAGTGTTTCCCAACGTGGGCCCACGCCCCACCGGGGGGCAATTTGATTGTAAAGAGGGGGAATTCAAAAATGGACTCGACATGAGTTTAAACCTTTTGCTCTGGGCCATTTAAATGCAATGCGAGATTTCGGTGACAAAATCGAAAGAAAAAAGCAAATTCTTAAATAATTGCGGTCAATAAATATTATGTGACTTAGGGATTTTTTAAGCGACAAACCTGAAATGAAGTATCTGTTTACAGTGGATGGTAAAGCATTTGTGAGTTATTTAGCCAATATCTTTGAAAAACTGAATATATTAAATAAGAAACTTCAAGGAACAAATAAAACTCTTGTTGATGCAAAAGCGAATATATTTGGCTTCATTACCCTTATTGAGTTTTTTCAGAAATACATTAACAACAAAAACTTTGAACAGTTTCATTGGCTCCAAAAATGTGAAGTAAATGATACCGCTTTCCTTGTTATTGTCTATCATCTGAAAATTCTATCGGCTGATTTAAAAGGAAGATATTCTGATTTAAAACAAATTTATTTTCCAACATGGATGTTGTAGTCCATGTTAGTGGATTTGTCTGATATATCAAATATATCAAGAAAAACTTGCAGAAATGCAAAATGAATAGTCAGTTAAAACTTTATTTAATATGAAAGGAGTGATGGCATGGCTTCGTGAGGAAACAGAAAACAAATACCCAAATTCAATCAAATGTGCAAGAAAACTATTGTTACCGATATCATTTTCATATTTAGCTGAATGTAGATTTAGTGCTGTAAATGATTTTATTGGTAAAAAAAAAGGAAATCGTCTGGATATAACACAACGGGAAGACTTGAGACTGAAGCTAACCAAATTGGAACCTAAGATAAAATCTACGTGCAGCAAGCATCAAGGACAAGAATCTCACTAAATTAAAATTTTAAATTATTATAGAAAAATCTTTATAAAGACTTAATCTGTATTAAGAATCTTAAAATTATTTCGAATTTGAATTTTAGTTTTTCATTATATGTTCTGAAAATTTACTTACTTTGTTTCGCTAACAATTTCCTAAGTTTCTTATGTGAACAATTCGATTTTTCAATATTAAAAATTATGTATATGTTACATAGGGGGGCATAAGAATTTTAGAAAGGCTTAGGTGGGGCATGGTACATAAAAGGTTGGGAAACACTGGTCTAAACAAAAAGACAATTTAATGTTAAAAGAATTCAAGAAGATGATTGATCACTTGTAGTTTTATATGAATGCTTATTTATAAATACTTCTTATTTATAGTAGCTAATAATTATCCTTACACTAAAATTTTTGATAATTGACACTTGTCAAAAACTATGTCTACAAGCAGTTTTTGACTTAATGGATAAAAACATTGTTAAAACTAACAATTGTCAAAAACTTGCAACCCTACTTTATATTCCTACTCATGTACATTTAAAGAACTTTATAAAATTTGTAAGCACTTCTATTTTATCACTTACCATGAACATCAGGTATATAATTTGCTGTAGCCTCCATTAGAGTCTCTCCAATTTTGCCTTTAACTTCAACAATATCACCTGTTTTTAGATTTTTGACAGAATATGTAACCCTACCAAAACAAGTAACAACCATAGTTATCAGATTTATAAAAACAAAATGAGAGCTAAAAAGAAATATTTTAAATATTCTATATGCTTAGATGAAGTGCCTGTCCTATATTAAAATCACATTCGTTTAGAGAACATTTGATTTTATAAAACAGCTGATTTACTGGAATAAGCTGGAATAGTTACACTCGGAAAAAAATGTTTCAGATTGAAACTTTGCAGATACTCTAAAAATTAAATTGGTTACTACATTTATATTTCAATTTTACTGAATTAATATTTAATAATTTAATTAAACATGAGCTCCAATTTATAATTTAGAGAAGGGTTTAAAAATATTAGGGCATTTGGTTAATTAGCAAAATTTTAAAGTTCAACATTCAAACATTCAACATGAACTTTGTTCTTTATGCTTGTTTCCTGCAGAATGTTTTTATATTATTATGCAGAATGTTTATATATTATTATGCTTGTTTCCTGCAGAATGTTTAGTTTGAATTAGATAGTTAAGCAGAGTTTGGAAGACAAAAGTGGGCTAAGTCAAGGCAAGAAAATCAAACAAGTGTCATATAAATTAAATCTAACATCTAAATCAAGACAGAATAAAAAAAGGAGTCATGAGATTCCTTAACAAGTTGGAAAAAACAATAAACACCTCCAAACAATGGACTTTTATTACATTATTCTGCCATGGTGAACATTTTCTTATATTACACGAATTCATATTATGCAAAATATCTTTGGATGTTCAGTTGTAAAAGAACATTATCAAACACTTGTAAGAGTATTGAACATTTTGAAGGAAAAAGAAACATTTTTGAACTCATTGGCAACTATTTTTCTTAAGAGAAAAATAGTAATAGAACTTAAAAGAACTATTTTTCTTGAAAAAAAAATCATAAGTACTACTTTATAAAGCAAATAATAGTTATAGACAAATAATAGTTATAAACATATAATAGTTATAAATAAACAATAACTATGAAAAAAGATAATATAGAATCACAGATAGCAATTAATTTCATTGATCTTACATTTCAGAGCAGTCTTCTATTGCATCAGAACTTGTTGTGGAACCATCGGGCATATCTTTGTATTGAGAAGCACCTACTTTAAGAATGAAAAATTACTTTAACTTACTTACAACTCTCTTGCATGCACACATTTTTCAAAATAAAAGCTGCCGGAAAAAAAATCAAAATTCCAAATTCAGACATTATGTTGTTAAATTTAAAACTTAAAGCAAATGCGCAAAAAAAAAAAAAAATATTCTAAATTATCTAATTCTTAATAAGAGTAAAGAAACACAAAATACCAAATAAGCTCCCAATTAAAAAATAAATAATTAAATAAATAAAAATGAAGTTAAAATTTGAAGAGAAAAATTTTTTTCAGCTATTTTGTTGTAGACAAGTAAGACATTCTAACAAACTTATAAGAAAAATAATCATTTTTGATTTCAATATCTCTAATTTTACATTAATGAGTAAATAAAATTAAAATGAAACGACTTTTTAAGTTTATTATAGTTTTTTAATACCCTTATATATTTAAAATAGGAAAAATTTCCTCATTGGCACCTGTGCCAAAATATTTGCCAAGCTTCTACAATTTTCGAGCAATGACATGCAAGAATCTAAAAAAAATTTCACAGAAAGGAATCAACTTAAACTGTGTATCTTGTAGCAAACCACTACATACTTTATTTAAAAACTCATAGGCACCTTAGCAATTGAAGTAAGCAGGAACAGGTACTAACATGGAAATATCCTATCAGAAGACATGTTCCTCGATTTTCACATATACATTAAACATATCTTAATTCCCAGGTATAAAGTCAATTACTTTAGTTTTAATTTTAAAAAAAAAAAAAAAACTTTAGTAAGAGTATGAGCTTATTTGCTGAATAAATACCAAAAAATATTAACTTTTTAATGCATCAGAGACTAAAGCAAAAATAATTTTAACTAAATTTAGAAAAACGAGAAATGTATAAAGAATTCCAAATAAGAATTTCAAAGAAATGATTTCAATAAAGAATTTCAAATTAGTTAATACTCTTCTTACCACATAAATACCTAGTCGTAGCATCAGATTTTTTATTTGTCATTAAGTTATTAGCTTTTGTTGCACAGAAGCTAATTATTCTTATTGTTTCACGTCTCTGATATTTAGAAGCACATAATGATTTAACAAGAGGATTGAAAATAAGAAATTTCATATTGATTCGTTTTTGTTTTTTTTAGAGATAATAAGCACTTAAATAACTATTAGCTAAGGATATCAGTTAATTCAGCAAAAGATATGCTTTATTAAACATTACGAAACGAGAATAGAAATTAAGATTATGACCAACGACATAATTCAAAATCGTCAACCAGAGAGGACATTCTTTTGTTTATTCAACATTCTGAAGAATAAAGTTATTTGTTTTTACCTAACTTTCTTTGTTGCTTCGAAACTCGTTGCATTTCATTATGTTGCTTGGCAGCCCGACTTTGTAATACACAGAGGCATTTGATTGGTTATTAAAATCATCATTTTCATCTTTATCATTTAATCCTTTCTTTCTGGTTCACTAAAATGGCACTTTTAGCATTTTGTTTGGCGCAATTTTTCAAAAACGCATGCTCTGTTTGATAATTTATTCAATCGAAGTATATAGATGCTTGTATCCAGTGCCGTAGCGAGCTTAACTCGCGCCCGGGGCACAATACCTTTTTAGCGCCCCCCCATTCGAAAATCGTCTAGTATTATAAGTAAAATATACTCGCAAAGTAATAAATAAATAAAGTAAAATAAATAAAGTCATAGGCTTAAGCTAGGCATTAAATTTGAGACAAAAAATGTAGTTGAGAAAACAAGACTAGATTTTGAAATGTATATGATCATCTAGAATTAGTTCATAAGATACCTATTATTTATTTTACATATTTATAAAGAAATATTTTAAAAACACGCAGTTTTAAAACAATAAAAAAGTAAATATTTATTATCTCTAAGGAGATACATATATTTAATAATATGATTATAATACATTAATAAAACTAATTACTATGTATAAATTTTCCGCTTTTGATGAAGCAAATTTATCAATAATATCATCAAAGTTGATCATTTCAAATTTTTTCATACCCTATTCACTGAATAATAGAATCGTCGAGTAGATGTAGTAAGTAATCTTATTTGTTTTATTACTAACCAAGAATGCCTTGAACTTGAAAGGTAGCAACACAGTGAAATATACACTATAATTTATGCTAACATTAAACTTATAACATTTAATAACATTTCATTTTTATTCTAAGCAGAGCGCGATGACAATGACGCAAAACTGAAAAATACAGGCACAAAATAACTTAAACGTTAATATTTCGGGTATTTACCTAACTTGTAGCGGAATTCCACAACCTGTCGCAAGTGTCACGGATATGTACAGTCACGGAAAAAAGTATCCGGAAAGTAACAAATAAAGAATCATTTATTTTTTGAAACAGATAATTCTCAGGTACACAACAAATACGGCGTTTGTGTCCTTTCCTAGAAACAGCAAAACGCTGTATTTGTTGTGTGTCTGAGAAGTATCTATATTAAAAAATAGACAATCTTTTAGTTGTTATTTTCGGGATACTTTTTTCCGTGACTGTACATATAAGTACATTAGAGTGCTATTGTTATCGTTTTAAAATAACAAGCGTAAGCTACATTGCGTTTATAGAAATAAAAATAAATAGTGTTCTGAAGGAAAGAATGTTTGTACTTTGTACACTGTACAAACATACAAATACTTTATACACTGAAGTTTGTACTTTGTACACTGCAAATATTTGGAGATAATATATGTAACCACACAGCGTAGATGCCATAAGGAAGTGCTGACAGACACAGGTCGAGTCAGCCCAGTGGAAAAGACGTGTCATTTCTATTATGAATGTATTATTACAGTTTGATTAGTGTTCCTTTTTATTTACGAATTAACATTTATTATATTTCACCGGCACTAAATTTAAAATATATTTTCCAGAAATAAATTATAATAAAAATAAAAATCATCCAACAATTTTTTTTGTTTTGCTGACCATTTGGCGCCCCTTTGTGTGTAGCGCCCGGGGCATGATGCCCCCCCTTGCTCCCCCTTCGCTACGCCACTGCTTGTATCCCCTCCTTTGTTTGTGTGGTTTGTGTGTACTCAGACTAAGAAATAAATGCGGAAAGATCAATCACTCGACCTGACGGACGTCACGGTGAACATTGACATTACTATATCCAAGCTGTCTAGTGAGCAGTCTGTCTAAACAAAACTTCATTGAAGTTGTTTCTTTATAGTAGCTGTATATAATTTGTTCTTTTTTATTTGAATTTTATAAACTGTAATGATTATTAATAACATTCTGCCTCTGTGCCAGATCTAATCAGATCATTTATAATTGGTTTCGATGCTCACATCATTATTTTTCAATCTCTTGTATCAGTTCTAATCTCTCAGCATATCTGCTTCCAGTCCAGTTGTTTCCTATATGACATTGGCTAATTCATTTGTGATAAGAAATGACTCCTTATATATTTTGATTTGATTTAGCCCCCACTTTTGGTTTAGTGCATATTTCTATTTCTGGGTGATTTGAATTGATGTTGTATTGGTATTCAAAGACTTTGTGACGTTTTACAGTGTAGTTTTTAATTTTTTTATTTCTAGTAGCAGAAGCGAATGATGTGTACATTATTCGCTGGAGTGCAAAAACACTCCACACAGATCCATAAGGAATAACAACAAATAAAAAAGAAATTAAAAACATTTAAACATTCGAAATACAAAAACATTTGGAACAAAGAAACATTAAATAGAATATCAACAATAAAAATATCAACAAAAAAATATAAGCAGAAAATCAGTCAGTTAGAGGTGCCTGCAACTGTTCCCTACAATGTATACATTGTAGGGAACATTATTACAAGAAATGTCCACTTAAAAATTTAACAATTTTAATATTATAAGGGGAAAAAATTTTAAGTTTAAATTTCCACTCAGTTCAAATGTAAATATATAGCTTAATAGTTATATAGTGTGGTTTTTATTATATAATTTCAGAATATAAATGAGGAATGATAATTGTGAAATTGCAAATGGTAAGTTACACATTTAAAAAATATATATAATAGAAACTAACAAATTAAATTGAGATTTTGATAAAATAAGCCCAGTTTTTAAAAAAAAATTATGTATAGCTAATATAAACAAGCTGTTCGAAAAGCCTAGGCCTACATTAATATATGGCTATTTTAAAAGGTAATAATCCAACAAATAAATAGGTGGATAAAACGGGACATAAAAAACTCTATCCCGTTTGATCCAACTCATAAGTGTCCCGTTTTGTCCGACTCCGACACTTTTTGAAGCAAACATGGCTGCTGCCTAAATGTGCAAAGTAAATTAGATAGACTGCACATAAAAATATTGGTAAATAAATGGTTAATCAAATTTAATACTCACCGGAATTTTATTCCCATATATAGAGGCAGTACAATGTAAAAAACAACGTATGTAAATGTAGAAAATGGCAAGAAAATAGAATAAAAAAGTTCTGAGACCTACAACTTTCTATCGAATAGTGATATCGAGACGGGACGCACCGAGAATTATATAATCCCGGTCGAATAACACGTTTCTGTCGTTGTCCACTAGATAGCTGCAATAGTCTGGTCCCTAGGCGACGTATCCCGTTTTGTCCGACTATCCCGTTTTATCCAACTCTCCCCTANTAAAATTTTATTGAATACTTCGAAGTGTAAAGACGTCATTGTGGGTAACTCACGACATTTGTTGATACGCATGACTTTGCTTATAGGTATCAAATTAAATCTGATTTTAATCACATGGTTAGGTATAATCACTTCACTTCTTCTCCAGATGTAAGTACCCCGCTATTTTTAATTTGTTTTCATCAGAAAAACAATGATTGATGAACGTGATTGCATAAGCAAGTTACTTTATTAAATTAGTATTCCTTAAGCTTTCCGCTAGTTAATTTTACTTATAGTTGTGCTTTGAAAATGTGTTTCTGTAAAATTAAAGATATCAAAATCAACATTAATTGAAATAACATATATAAATTGAAAAGCAAATCTAATGGAAAAACAGTACTAATTCATTCAGAAGAAAAGTAAAAAATTGCAAATAGTTATTCATGCCAATAAGGCTTTATTAATTTCGGAAATACTTGAAATAAAAAATATTAGCTATGCACTAAAGGAAAGAATTAATGAGAGATAATATTAATTCATTTAGGACAAAAATGAAAATTCACTATTTTGATTTTAATGTTGATGATAATAAATTAGTTTTGTTAATAGGTACTAATTTTATTTTATTTTATAACTGTCCTTGAACAGCCCATCCAATTTTGAGTTTACGACTACCAATGTTCAACACTATAGATAGAATGACGGAATCCGGTGTTTTTGGAAAGTTGTGTGGTATAATTGACTAATTGAAGATTGCGATTCAAACAAGATAATGAAAATGACAGTTGAAAATGAAAACGGGATCATAATTACTATAAAACTTTTATTTAGTACTTGTAGAGCTCGAGATACTAAATTATATTTTATCCATAATAAGACCTTCTAAAATAAATAATGAATTTTGAATAATAATGTTAATAAGGACTGTACACAAGAGATAAATCCCCCATGACCAGCCTAATCAAAAGCCAATTTTAAAAAAAAGGATTGAATTGTTCCCAACTGAGACCTTTTTTTTAAATATATATTTCTTGTGTACAGTCCTTATTAACATTATTATTCAAATGTTAATAAGGACTGTACACAGATTTATCTCTTGTGTTCAGTCCTTATTAACATTATTATTCAAAATTCCTTATTTAACTTAGAAGGTCTTATTATGGATGAAATATAATTTAGTATCTTGAGCTCAACAAATATTAAATAAAAGTTTTTTTGTAATTATGATCCAGTTTTTAATTTCGACAGTCATTTTCATTATCTTGTTTGCATCACAATCTTCAATTAGTCAATCATACCATACAACTTCCAACCACACCTAATTCCGTCATTATATCTATAGGGAAGAACATTGGTAGTCATAAACTCAAAATTTGATCGGCTGTTCAAGGACTTTTATAAAATAAAATAAAATTAGTAACTATTAAGAAATTTTTTTTTTATCATCAACATTAAAATCAAAATAGCGAATTTTCATTTTTCTCCTAAATGAATTAGTATTATCTCTCATTCATTTTTTCCTTTAGAGCATAGCTAATATTTTCTATTTCAAGTATTTCCTATTTCCGAAATTAATAAAGCCTTATTGGCGTGAATAACTATTTACAATTTTGTATTTTTCTCCTGAATGAATTAGTACGATTTTTCTATTAATTTTGCTTTTCAATTCATATATGTTATTTCAATTAACGTTGATTTCGATTTTTTTAAATTTTCTGGAAACACATTTTCAAAGCACAACTATAAGTAAAATTAACTAGCTGAAGGATTAAGGAATACTAATTTAATAAAGTAGCTTCCCTATGCAATCTCGTTCATCAATCACTGCTTTTCTGATACAACAAATTAAAAATATCTGGGTACTTACATCTGGAGAAGAAGTGAAGTGATTATACCTAACCATGCGATTAAAATCAGATTTAATTTGATACCTATAAGCAAAGTCATGCGTATTCAATTATATTTTATAAATACATATATATNAAGTCCATATATATATATATATATAATATAATATAATTTAATGTAAATGAACTTTTTTTTGCATTAAACGCTTATGAATTCAAATTCTAAGCCTTCTGATCGTCTCGGAATTGATTTCCTTCAATTTAGGGTTAAGAATTACGACGGAAATAATAACTCTCCTGCTCAGATATTCCGTATATCAGGGATGAGCAAACTACGACCCGCGGGCCAACTGTGGCCCGCCGGAAGGTTTTATCTGGCCCGCGAACAGAATTTTAACTTACCGATCCGTGGCGAATATAAACAATATGCATTATACATCCATTTTCTTGTCTACTTTGTTTAAAGCTATTTTTGTTCTTTCTTTTTTTTAACAAAGTACTGATGACCTTTTCAATTTCTCTATTTTTGTTCAACAAAACATAAATTGATGAAAATAGTTAGCACAGACAGCTTCAATTGGTAAAATGTTGAAAGCAGAAGTTTTTGATAGAATAGCCGTAGATTAGCTCCAACTAGTGTTTGTCTTTCCCGAGGAGCAGACATGTGGAATCTAAGACAGGTGAAATACTTCACAAAAGGCAGACTACGCATTGTTAAGTTCCAACGGGCGGATTTTTCTGCCGGCGCGAGTTCTAACATTATTTACTGCGTATGAAAAAATAGCACACATACAACGTCATTGTAAATAATGGTGAAATTACTAAATGTATAAAATAGCTACTGCTTTTTTGAGTTATTTGTAAAATTTTTTAACCCCAAAATGTCAACTGAAAAACGCAAAGTTTATGTAGAGTGCCTTGCGTTCAGTGATAAATTGACTTTATTTTATTTCAGAAGTTAGAATTTTTATTTTAGAAATTTTTACTAGGCCCACCAAACTTTTTTTTCTAGATTTTTTGCCCACGACCAAAAAAGTGTGCCCACCCCTGCCCTATATAGTATTGTAAAGTTTGTACATAAGTACATGTCAAAAGATATATATACAAAAAAATTTATATACAAAAACTCTAGCAACTTAACTTTTGAACTATTTATTCTATTGAGTCGTGTTTAGGTTCATCCAATTCAGCATAAAAAATACTTTTAATATAATGATTTACTAGCTTAAATTGAAATATCAGATGCATAAATAGATACTTTTACCTATGGTATTGTAAAACTCTCATAATTTTAAGACAATTGGTCCGATCGTTTCGTGATCGGTTTCACTTTAATGGTTCAGTGAGGAGAATTACGTTAGTAACAATGCCTCACTTACCTGTCTAGAAGAAATTCAAATAGCCACCCAAATCCCCCCAACTCTGTTCTAAAAGGGGTAAAACATACAGGGGGGGAATTTGGGAGCTTTCAGTCATCATTTATATTTGCATGGTTGATGAGATTGGTTTTTCCGAAGAAACTATATATTTTTGTTGTTGTTGTTGCTATAATTATTGGTCTAATAGGTTTTCTATGACGACAATATCGACTCAGGTCTTCTGTAAACATGACATTTTTCAAGAAGAATTAAAGATCTATAAAATAAATGAGGAAAACTATTTCCCACACGAGAGAGCAATAAAAAAGCAAACAGTATTGTATCTAACTCAACTTTGAACAAATTTTCTAACCAAAGAAAACTGTAGACAGGCGATTTTCGTGTAAACAATAAAAAAGTTATTACTGTTTACAGTCATCACTTTGCTTTGTGACTTCTTTAATATCGTTCATTTGATTTAACGATTATATTAATTTTAGTTTATTTCCTCCCATATTTGCTGAAAGTAGGAAGTGTAAAAAAATGGACAAGTAAGTCGATAAGTTTTTTAATTATAAAATAATTACACATATTACTTTTTTAATTAATAGTTAGTGAAGAAAATATTATTTAAAAGAAAATTTTCATAAAAATGGTTCTAAATAACTCTTTTTTTTTCAGATTTAATTTTATGGAAACAAAAAAAAAATATTAAAATTGTTCCTAAATGAAATGTTCTCATTAGCTATTATTATTCTTGTTCATAGGTGTTAACAAATGTCTGATATTAGAGTATTAACTTTATGCTTACATCCAAGAATTATACAGCGCTAACCCTGAATCATATACATTTATATAACAAACAAGTGTTCCAAATACACAACAGTGTTTTCATCATGTTATTGTTTCAGATATGTTTTGTTCTCCTAAGATCACTTTTAATTGTTTAATGTTTGGTAATAATTTCATAAATATCTTTTATAAATACATAATTTTATTCAGTTAGAGAATAAAATTTATACACTGATAGTTGAAAAGATTAGAAAACGCTTGGTCGGATGATTGAAATACCTCCTCAAGCGATCAATGTTATACCCAGTGTTGCATATAAATTGTAGAAGGAGATTTAATTTATCAAAATGATAAAGAATCTATAAAGCCTAGCTCACATCTCGGTAGTGTACATAGAATTAAGATAAAGAGTAGGGAGCTCGATTTGATTTAGAGTACTTTGTAATCACTGTCCTTACTATATAATATTTGAATCTTTGGTAGACTGGAAGTAAATAAAATATGCACAAGGTGGATAACAAATTAATGTTAAAACGAAAAAAAAGAAGAAAAAAAACATATACTATTGAATCACTAGTGAAGACGGTGGAATGAAAAAAACAAGCAGAAAAGTTTGTTTAATTAAATTTGGAGGCTTTTCTAATAATTGTCTTTCAACTCTTTCAGTTTTCACTGGCAATGATAAAGATTGTGACATTTTCAGTTGCTTCTTTCTAAACATATTTCATTAGCATTATCTTTTTCAACTCTTATGGGAAACTAATTTGAGTTGTGATCAGTGGGTGGATTCGGCAGAAAAGAAAAAGTCCCAATGCTGGATGCAATTTACGGAACAAAATTTAAATATCAAGATGGATTAGATTTTTAAAATATTTATCAATTTGTAATTGGCAATATTTCGACGCTTAATCATAAAACTACTCCATCGAAAGCGTGCAATAACGTTTGTTTTGTTGATGACGGACCATAAAAGATTAAAAAGTTATATTTAATGACTGTTTCATTTATTTTTATGACAAAAGCTGTTCAAAATCAAACTCATTTTTCTATTAACTCCAAACAACAAGGCTATACTGCCTGTGTAACTGCTACGTAAGGCTATGCAAGTGTTTAACGATTGATTTCGAGAAAAGTGACTTGCCAACTATTTTCTTTCCATTGCTAGCATTATAAATGCTAAAATAGAATTTCAGAAAACTGATAAAACAATTTTATTTAAAAATTCTTTGAGATAGGTAGTTTAGCTTACGAAGATGCCAAATATGTAAATATCTCAATTTTGATTGATTTGTCGTTTACGGTGATTTTTCTTTTGCACTACAATATTTAATTTGATATTTTCCTTTAGGGGAGGGGGGCAGAAAAGGTACTGCACTAAAGTTTCAGTTGATAAACGCTTCTTTATTGAACTCAAAGCAAATCGTAATTTCAAAGCGATGAGACTTATATTTACGGAGTATTGCGAGAATCGTCAAGAATCTTTGGTAATCTGCAAAAGGACCTAGATAATCTTTACTAGGCACTTGTTATAATGAAAAGTGTTTTCTGCAACAACAGCGTTTCTGAATTAATAAATTAACATAATATTATTTATTTATATGTCGCTATGTTTAAGATCAAATCACTATAATCAAACACACGGCACATTTGAAAATTAGAATCAGTCATCAATCACCTTAAAAACTATAATACAACGAAATAAATGGCGTAAAATAAAATGACAAATAATGAAATTAACATATAATTTATCGTTATTTATTTATTTCTACAAAATCAAGCCAATACAATCAAACAATCAGCAAATTAGTAGAAAGAATATGAAAAACTAACGAGAATAAACGAGACACAATTTTAACGATACGGAGACAGTTAATGCAATTATTACTTACGTAAATTGAGGAAAACCCTTGATTTCGCACTCACCCTCGTTAATTTGTAGATTAGCTAGGTTATGTGCATATTAACGGCTCTCAAACTTTAGCGATAACATATGTACAGTGCGCTAAAATCAAAATGGACACCCTGAATAACTTTCACTCTAATGATCTTCTCGCTCGAGGTGGTGACCGTAAATATGATAATTAATAAATGCGATATTCCAAAATTACGAAATCAGATACTGAAACATACTTTCTCTGAATAAACATACCTTTTTCTAGACGGAAAATTTATTACTGATCCCCCCCCCCAAAAAAAAACTGAGGAGGTAGTCACAATCTGGGTAATATGGTTTCAATAGTTTGGTCAGGAGAGCGATCCAATGTTTGTAACCCTTAACGTCTGTTCTACTTTTTGCGTATTTCGTCATATCTCGAGAACTTTTCTAGCGAACTGAAAAACACTATTAAAAAAATTCATTTTTCCTAAGATACTTCCTTGCAAAGAAATAATTTTAGTAAATATATATTATTTTTTGTTATTTATTTTAATAATAGTCATAACATTTTGAATTGTGTGGTATGCAATTTTTTACATTATTTTAAAAAATGCAATTTTAAATGACAATATAAAAAATTGGAGCAGAATCGGACGAATAGTTTCTAAGAAACTGAATTTTAAGTTATTATTAAATTTAAAATTTTAATTTCTCAGTATGTATTCAACCGATTTCGCTCACATTTTGTATTTAGACGTGTAAAATTACATACTTCAAAAATTGTATCCAAAAATTATATACTTAATAATTAATTTTTTTTGACTATTATTAAATAAAATAGTAAAAAATAATCATTTACTTAAATTACTTTTTTTGCAGGTAAACGAATCTTTGGAAAACGAATTTTCTAATAGTGTGTAAAAAATTATCAAACGGCTTAAAAAGTTCTCAAGATATGAGGAACTGAGCAAAGAGTACATTAACATTAAGGGGTCCAAATTTGGATTGCTCTACTGAATAAACTATGGGGACCATATCTCCCAGATTGTGGCTACACCCTATATTTTAGGGGTCAGAAATGCAAATCAGTGGGTAAAAGGGTATCTATTCAGAGAAAATATGTTTTTGAGTCTTATTTTGTAATTTAACTTGTCCGCACTAATTAATTAATATACACCGAAGAGTCATTGCATTATGACCACCCTCTAGCTATAACAATGGGCTCACCCAGGTTTTCATTGCTTCTCGCCCAGGAACAATATTTTCATTGGCACATTAGGACCCATAATCCTCATAGAACAATCCCTGACGTCTGTAAGCTACTAAGCTACTTGAACATAGTTGCAGACCAGGTTCACTCATTCATGGCAACAGTTTTTCTTGCGGGGGATGGTGTTTACCAAAAGGATAATGCACCATGTCAAAAGGGTCGAATCGTCATAGATTAGTTAGAGGAACATTCCAGTGACGTTCAAGTCATGTTTCGGCCCCAAAATTCACCTGACCTTAATCCAATAGAGCATTCGTGGTCCTACTTGGAAAACCAAATTCGTGCTGCCACGCTACCCCCTCGCAATGTGCTGGAATAGCAGGACCAGTTAGTGAGCGCTTGGTACCAGATACCTCAGACTACCTATCAGCGCCTTGTGGAATCAATGCAACGACGGGTGCTAGCAGTTTTGAGGGATAAAGGTGGTCCTATGATCCTATTGGTTGTTCATTAGCAGGGTGGTCATAATGTAATGGCTCTTCGGTGTATTTGAGGTTACTCCTTCGAACCATTAAGATAGAGTCCTAAAAGATCCGTTCATTAGATCTGAAATTATTCAAGTTATTATTATTATTATTATTATTTTTTTTTTGGTGATTGTACAGTTAAAGTTAAGGTGAATTTTATCTCATCAAATAAATTAACCCGAAAGTTTGTTGTTGTTATTCAAGGAGCACTTCTCGAAGTTTGTTCCATGCATAAAGAGTTTGCTCTCTTTTAACTTAGATTCAAATTTAAAAATTAAAAATAATAATAAATTGCATAAAATAAATAAGTGAATCATTGAATTAATAAAAAATAAAATAATGAGAAACAATAAGATAATATATTCAATGTTAAATACTATGTATAATATATTATACAATAAGAGAAAGTCATTTAACTTTTTATTTACCAAAATCGTAGAGCTCATCACTTTAAAAAAACAAGGGGTGAAGAGAAGAAGAAGTTTAGAATGAAAATAGCGTACGTTCTGTGTTTTAGGTCTGAGAAAATTGTATTTGTTTTCTTATTTTAATTAAATTGAGAAACGTAGTTTACAAGATTTTTTTTTATTTCATATTTTTATTCTTGTGACTGTTAGAGTTTGTTTCTATTGAAAAGTGATCGAGACAATTGGCGATAAAAGAGAGATACATTTTATTCATACATTTTAGGAAATCACTGTAACTTGACACTTGTGTCCAGTGACATTGGATTGACACCAGGCGCAACGCTCTGGCTGAAAAAGGCGGCGAGGTTGCAACGGAGCCTTTTAGCGCTGTAAAACATCTAGAAATAGTAAAAAGAAATATATAAGCATCCTTGATTTTTATTTTCTAATACTTAGAGATTCTTATTTCATAAAATATTTTTTTGCAGCTATGTTCCTATTAACTTAGCTTATGATTTGTATGAATCCTCTGAAGGCAGTGACCCCAACTTAACACCTATAGTTCTTCTTCATGGACTTTCATCTGACAGAAGTACGTGGAAATATACTGCTCCAATTATTGCCGAAAAAACGAGGAGAAAGGTAAGAATATGTGAACATATTTTGTTTACTGTTGTATCAATACAAATATTTTTTTGTATCGTGTGAGCTTGTTGATTTTAGAAGTAATACACGTTTGACCCCAGTAATCGTTTCGCCTGGCTAGCAGGGCTTTGCACTCCCATTTGTGAGAATGGGAGTTGTGTCCAGCTGGCAAAATGGTTAATTAAATCTGCCGGGTCACAATGTTCTCTATGTTCCCATAACAAATTATACCTCTGGGGGTACTGAATTGGTGATTGATCGTTCTCTGGCTCAGGACAAAATTACGATCTGTGGATGAATGAATGATTGCGCCCTATAAACGTGTGTGACGTACGTATTTATAGAGTGGCTTGGGTATAGATGGTGCCACTGTAAAATAAGAGTAATTGCACCCCTTGCCCTAATGGTCTACGACAACAACAACAATCAGTATCTTTTAAAAACTTGGTTTAAAAAGGAAGAATTTTTATAAGTTCTCCATAAAATTATGAAACGTTATCCGGTGATGGTTTATGAAACAAAATTGCTTTGCTAGTAAAATTCCCATCAACTTACTATGCCATCACACGATTTACATGAAATTTACTGCTGTTTTTGATACTGACTGCTCACTAACGTTAACTTTAATTATGGATACTCTGTAGTTTTTCAGGTTTTCCGAGAAAAAAAAAATCCTTAAAATAAAATTTTCTATTGTAAATATAATTGATAATAATTGATAAATATAGCATACCGTTAGGTAAAATTTTGAGTAAATTTTTCTAAAACATGTCTGTTTAAATTCTGCAACAATAAATATTCGAATGTAGTTTTATTATAATTTCTAGATGTTAGTCTTACAGTTTCTCAATAGAATTGACTAGCATAAAGAAAAAATTTGGCTATATTTTTAAAATTCTAAAGCTTTGGGGTTTAAAAATATGATATAATCGATTATAAATAATATAGATTACAGAGAAAAGTCTCTAATAAGGCGATTTTCATTTGTAAAAGAATAATATGAGAATTCTAAGGTTTTCATACACTCTGAAATTGATTTTGTAAGGGGCCGGGATAGCCTGGTCGGTAGGGCGCTGGGCCCATGTCCGAGAGTTCGTGGGCCCAAACCCCACCGGCCGAAGACTCCCAGTGTAGTAAAGAGACTGATGCACGTTAAATCTGTCGAGTCGCAAAAGTCCTCTATGTTCCCATAACAAATCAATACCTCTGGGAGTACTGGATTGGAGATGGATCGTTCTCTGATTCAGGTCAAAATTACGATCTGTGGATGAAGGAATGGATGTATGAATGGGTCCGCCCTATAAACGGGAGAGACGTATGGTGTGGCAGAAGTCGAATTCTTGGCCATAGATGGCGCCACTAGAAAACAAGAACAATCGCACCCCCTCTGCCTAAACAGCAACAACAACAACATTGATTTTCTGAAATTCACTAAAATCTTACTTTTCTTCATTTTTTCAATAAGCTCTTGATTCAGTGATGCTATTCCTTCTCTCTATTACTATTTTATATCTCCTAAAAGTGTTCTAGGAAAATTCAGTCTAAGATAAAACGGCCAGACTAAGATAAATTTTTTATTCTTCTTCACCAGCCACCAGTTTTTGTGAACTTAAATTATTTCAAACTAAGCTATCAAGAACCACAAATGATGTATTAGAATTTTAAATTCATATGCTTAAAATTTCTAGAAGTACCAATATCACTGTAAATCACCTATCAGGAAATAATTTTTATTATAGGGCTCATACCGTATGTATTAATACAACAACTGGAGAATAATTTCCGTTATCGGTCCGATATCAAAAGCCATTCTAAGACTATTGTCTAGAAATATATAAGACTATTATCGACTTGTATTTAAGGACCAGTTTTGTATTTACATCTTTTGAACATGGAACGATATTATAATATTTTAATAATTTCTGTTTAATAATCTGTCATAAATATTTTAATAATTTCCATTTCTATATCCAGTTCCTTAAGTGATTTACACTACAAGGAAATCTACCTATAATAAATTTTTCTTTTTTGTTCATAAGGCATTTTTGTCTATTTCGCAATAGTCCAAGTACAATATAAACATTCACCTTTTGAAAAGAAATATTTTTTCTTTGTTTGTCTATTAAACTTCTGATAGTTCATATAAAATTTTGCAAAATTATACAGGATTGAAAGAAAATTTTTATTTAGGATTATTTATTATGAAATAAGAAAACCACTGCGTAAATGCTTTTTCTTGAAACTCTCAGCTGATCCAAATATCTTAAAAATTAATTAATTAATAGAACAATTAAACACACATGGGAAAAAATGCTTTTACTCATTACACAGATTTCGGGGGAAATACGGTGTGAATTGTCTAAGCGATGTAAAGGGGCTTAAAATGTATTCTTATTCATGACATTGCAGGATTTTGAAAAATCGATCGCTAAAGCTGGATTTCAGCTATCGGCTACATTTTAGAGTGGGCTTAGAAGATACAATGTGCATTCCGATTAAGCACTTCTCTTTACAGCATCAATGGAAATGATTTTCACCTTGGTCAAGACAGCAAGTTTCCTGTCAAAATTTATGTTTAATGTTGCAAGAGTAAGAAATTAGATTGATAAAGCTACATTTGAACTATTTGCGATATTTTAGAGTGGTGTTCAGAAAATGTGATGTGCAATTCAACTAAAAACTTAGTCTTTACCGAATTACTGGAAATGATAACCACAAAAAAATTCACCTAGAGTCGTTGTGCTAGGGATACAGCGTTCGCCTTCCAACCGGTGATGGTGAGGTGAACCGGGTTCGAATCCCGGCATTGGCTGGTCGATATGAATTCCGCACCTGGGTCATACCGAGTGCAAGCTGGCATAAAGTATCCTCAGTGTATCATGTGTTAGAGACCCCTGACCGTCTGGTTAACCACGGGAGGTTTTTCTCTCCATGCAACGCAAATGTTGGTTAGTTCCATCAATAACTCCTCCACGAAGCCAAATTTTTCATAATACTTGATCTAGGAGTTCCCTAGTCTTCTATATTAGATTCAAAATTACATGTCTACGGAGTTGAACATTGGTAGTCGTAAACTCAGAATTGGGTCAGCTGTTCAACTGCTGTTATAAAATAAAAGACTTACTTTGGTCAAAATGACAAGTTCTGATAGCAGAAAATCGAATTACCAAGAGCCCTGCATTGTTTTGATTTTATTGTAAAAGTAGCACTAGAGTTATATTAACGGCTATCCGTCCATGAGATTTTAAAACAACTAATTATTAATGATTTTAAAGAAAAGCGTTCATTATTTTACCTTTTAGGTTCTATTTAGCGGCTATAAGATACCAGGTTAATCGACCAATTTTAAATAGGGTCTACATTGGATAAATAACGTCTTTAAAATACCGAGTGAAACTTATAATTCTATATATGGCCTATATTGGTTGAGTAACTGCTATAAAATATCGGGTCAATTACAAAATTCCAAATAGGGTCTATATTGGCTGAATAACTGCTAAAAATATTGGATGAATCGATTTATTCTATATAGGGCCCACATTGATTATATAACGGCTTTAAAATATAGGGTGAATCGTACAATGTTATCTATGGTCTATATTGGCTGAATAACGGCTATAAAACATCGATTGAGTCTGACACTGCTATATCGATATAGGTTGAATAACGGCTTTAAAATATGTGGTGAACTTTACAAATTTGCATAGGGCCGATAATGGGTAAATAAGAGAAATTAAATATCGGGTGAATTTGGTAAACATTGGCTAAATAGTAGCTATAAAATATCGGGTGGATCGAACATTTCTATATTGGCAGAAAATGGCCCTTTAAAACCTTGTTGAGCCAAGATTGGTGAATATTGGCCCAATGAGTTCCCAAGTTATTTTGCTCCTAGGGAAGTTTGTCCCACTGGAATTAAATAGCATTAGGATTGGAATTAGGATTTATTTAAACCATTACAGTAATTAAAGGTCTAAAGAAATGTTGCATGCAATAATTGTGTCTAAAAAATATAAAATATCTATTTTATAATATCTAGAATTCTTATTTATCACTGATAAGTAAGAATTCTAGATCAAAATTGTTACATGACTTTAGTTTGTCTGAACTGTCACTAACTGTCTGAAAGAAAATCTATTAAAAGATTTTTTTCGTTGCAATTCAAAATTTTAATAAATGCTTTATAAATTTTTTTTTATCCATTGGCAAAATGGGTCTTGGTTTGGATTTAGTGGTGTCCTCACTTTTCAACTAGTAAACAGTGCGCATGCGTTGCTATCGCAACCGCTGCTGTTTGATAATGTTTTTAGAATTCGTTTTTTCACTTTTAATTTTGTTATGCATTAGAGTTGGTGAGTTTATTTTTGAGATATGGACCAGAGAGATCGCATAAATACTTCTTAAATTGTGAATAAAGGAGAATTTCATCATTTGAACGATATTTTTGTTTTTATTGTTATAATTAAGGATCAGAAATTCTAAGCTACAGTTTAAACTGGATCGTTTTCAATACTAATTCAGGTGAATATCACAATTAAAGAGGATCCAAACTGATTGACATGGTCCCAAAAGTTAGAGTGGAAACAAGAAAAAAAGGATGCCAAGGCCTAAACTTACCGAGTCTGAAAAGCTAAAGCGAAAGAACGTAGACGGGAATACCTTAAGTGTTACACACGAACGGAAAAACGAAAGGATTCCGTTCGCAAACGCAAGCATGGAGCTCGACCCTCACAATACCAAAGTGGTTGAGAGAATTGAACTCTACTGAAGAGCGAATGGTGACTCTCCGAACCCCTTTCATGCAAATACGAGAACTGGGTGTTTAACACCAGTTAGGGATAAAAGGATACATTGTCAATTTACCCAATAACTTGCGCAAGACCGTAAACGCAATATAACCACGCAATATAAACGATTCATTCACTATTCATGTAAAATTGAAAAAAAAGGCCAAGCTTTCAAATCATATTTCGTGAATGAAGTTGTGAATCCAAAACGGGTATATGATGCAGCGTACAATCTCCATCAAACACCATTGTACCAATCCGAAAATGTTAATATTGATCACGATTGGCTGCTCAATGTCTATTCAGTCATCAAAAGAATTTACGCAGAATGTGTCTGAGCTGTATTTAAATATGTCTGTGAAATTGCGTACCGAGCAGTTCAGGATTAACAGTTAAAGATGTCCAAGATGAAAACACAATAAAGTTTCTTTTCCAAAAAAAAATTAGACAACAATTATTTTACCAATGGGAAACCAATGGATCTCTTCATTTTGTAGTGAATCGTATTTTATATTATTTTTTTTTTTGTTTTCCTTTTTTTTCAAATTACACCTCTTCTAAGTTTTCTTTTTTAACAGGGGCATCTGTCGAAACACTAGAAAGACTGAACATCGCTGCATGCCGATTGCTGCACGTAAAAAAGTGGCCAATGAGGCATTTCAAGATTTTTTACGTGCAGTAGTCGGTAGGCAGCAATGTTCAGTCTTTCTAGTGTTTCGACAGATGCCGCTGTTAAAAAAGAAAACTGACTGCACAATGAATTCTATTTTTGTTTTTATGCGATATTGACGGTTAGCACTCAGGAGAAGAACTTGCTAAAATATGTCTGAATGTAAAGGGTATTTAAAGTGATTTCTTCGAAAATTTTCTGCCAAACAGAAACGTGTACTTCTAAAGCTTGATAGCTTGATCAACAGCAAAATAGATGTTTAAGCATAAAATTCTATAGGGTTCATTAAACTTCCGATATTTGCCACAACTATAGAATGTCGAAAGCTCCTTCGATTGCCAATCAATTTTAAAGAATACATTTTTATGGCATTCCATTTATCACAATCTTTTTCGTATGCCCCGTGTACCGATATTGCTTCAAATCTATATTATCTTTGTTTATATTACTGCACATTTTATTTTAGGTCTATGCATATGATGCCAGAAACTACGGTGACAGTGATTATACTGATGAATTTAGTTTCGCCTTAAATGTGAAGGATCATTTTCATTTTATGAATGTAGTAAATTTGAAGAAAGCTGTATTATTTGGACACAGTATGGGTGCCTTCACTGCAGCTAATGCAGCCATTCAGAAGGTAAAGATTCATTACATTTACATTAACAGTGTGGATCATGACACATGTCCTTTAGAGGAAAATATCTGTTTCTTGTATATTTATGGCTGAAATCAATGAATTTCTCAATAGTTTTATTTACAATGCATATCCTCCCCCATATCCACCTTTAAGCGTAATATGTATTTTAACTGCTCTCAAAACCATTTAAATTAGAGAAGAATAAATGACTAAGAAGCTTTCACTGAAGCTTCGGAAGTTAAAGTTTTATCTACAATAATCTATCCTGTAATATTTTATTGCAAGTAAAGAAATATTTCCTACGAAAAACTTGATCTCTTTTAGAAGAAGAATGATGTTTTATGTAATTTTTAACTTTCCCTCGTCGTGATAGATAAGAATGAACTTCATCGAAAATTTAGTTTCAAACACATTTGGAGCGAAAACCAACTCCCATGTGTCTTGGAAATTGCTAGGGAAATCCGGACCCCAGAGCATATGACCACCCCTGACCACCAGGCATAATTTAAACTGTCTACCCAAGCTGAGTAACACTCTTTAACATCTAGCTAAAGTTTTGTACTCTCGGTGCCTACGTACAATATTCATATTGTATTTCGTCTTTGGAGAGTTAGGATGGAAATTTATTAATTGGCTTGCTACCTTTTACTGCTATGTCACTTAAAACTTTTTTCAATATGTTTAGTTCTTTCTAAAATCACAATACTGTTTTTCAAACAACTGCATCAGACTTAAGAAAAATAATTGCAAAAATATTAAATATATTTAGAAAATTCATCGCAAACGAGGTGAGGATTGCATCAAGTTATTCCTTGTAAAGAATAATGTGAAAATAAAAACTTTTTAGTGAGTAGAGGAGTTATTATTAAATTACAAGGCTACGCATTGAACATAAGAAGTCGTAAACCCAAAATTAGGTCGGCTGTTCAACGATAGTTATACAATAAAATATGTCGGATTTCTTTTTAAGTTTTTGAAGACTGTATATTTTTGTCAAGAGAACGTCGTGAGCAGTGTTTTTAAAGTCACTTATTCACTAACACTAAGAGTTCATTCATTGTTTCATTTCAATCTTCCTTAAAGACGTTATGTTAAAAAAAATTGAGTTACTCTTAAAACGCTTGAATATGTGTTTCGTGATTCTAAAAAGTCATTGTGTTTTAGATACCATTGTAAAGAATCTATGTCAGATCATTGAGAACAGTTCTTTAAAATATTTTTTATTATTCGTCCATTTTTGGTTTGCTCATGTTAATGCTCTAAACTATGCCACGAAGCTGGAATTAAATTTTGTTTCTTAAATGCTTTACAGACAAATTTTTATTCTAAGTCGTCTAAAGCACCTTTGAAATCAATGTATAGTAATTAGCCATAAGTGTTGTTTTGTCTTAGATATTTGCATGTAGATCGCTATCAATTCCAAAATAATAATCTAGCTTCTTGTCGCATATTTTTTCTAATAGTTTCTCCAATCGATATACTTTATTAACCTTAACCTTAAACTCTATAGGATGTCTACCTCTATAGAATTGAAATCGACATGAGGACCTCGATAGGATTAAAATCGGCACGATAATCAACGAGGCTCTGGGTGATCCCTCCGCCATGAATTATGATAGATTTATGTTCATATAGAATTTAGAAAGTCTTATTTTTCATCTGTGTATCTGATGTATTTCAATGTGATATTAAATTACAAAACTCACATCTTCTAGTCCATTAAAATAACTCATAACTTTCCTGGTAATTAAGTTACCGTAAAGTTTTGTAAAGTTGGATGCCTAATTGGTATCTTGTACTTGATTCCCAGCAGCCAAAAAGATAAATCATTTTTAAAACGCCGATTGCACTTCAAATAACCCAAAATCCCATAGTCAATCAGTATGCAATTATTTATTATTATTAAACAAATGCCAGACATTGACTATTAGGTCATCAGGCTTCTAGCTCTTCAGTACTTCCTAACAATACAGTCAAAGTCTTTTAGTGAAGAGCACGTGACCAAAATAGCAACAGTCAAGGCTATATATATATATCTGGATNTATATATAGTTAGCATGACGATTACTTTCAGGATTACTTTATCCGTGGAAATCGTGTCATCCAGTTTCCCAGGCAATCTATTGTTTATTGTATGAGTATCATCAGCTTTAAAAAGATTTTGAATTTTAATATTTATTGTTTATAATGGTTTTAAAATAAATTCTTCATAATTTTGTTTTCAGCCAACCAGAGTATCAATGGTAATAACCGAAGACACGTATCTAAACCCTACTAATAGAAAACATTCTGCCTTCATATGCAGAGAATATTTACGGGAACTCTCAAAAGCAATTTCAGAGATTCCTAGCTATATGAATGAAGCGGAAGCGAGGAGGAAAATAGTTGATGATATGTTCGAAGAATTATCGGAAGCAAATGTAAGTAGTTATTGGTTTTATTTATTAACGATGAACAAAAAAAGTATTTCACATTAAAATCGGATAACAGTTTTCCAAAATATAATTCTGAATTGACTTTGACTCCACATAGTTAGCATTTGTGATGAAGAACAAGAGGGGCGATATTGACAGCGTTTATTACGTCAATTAAAAGAAAATTGGTCGTACGGAAATCAATTTATAATTTTCAAAATGTACTTTACAATTTACATTTCTCTCTATATAAATGGAACTATTGACGAAAGACAAGGTGGGTGGAATTGATTGCACTTATTAATGACCAATAAAAAAAAAATTAGTTCCTATTAAAATCTGTTTTCAATTAGCAAAATTTAAGTCAAAATTCACATTTCATCCTAAAAGCGGGTCGAAAAACGAGATAGGTGGTATTGATAGTACTTATTATCGATGAATACAAATAAATAAATTAATCAGGTCGCATTAAAATCAGTTTAGAGTTTTCCGAAATGCACTCTAGAATAGATATTTTTTCCAATTGAGTTAACAGTTAGTTCGGGTAACAATTTCTGTAGATGCCCCTTTCAGACTTCACAGGTAAATCATAAAGAATTCAATCCCAAAATCATAAAAACTTATACATAATATGTGCGCAATATGTTATTTAAGAGAGGAAGGAAAACATAAACGTTATTATAATTTGCTGATTGGTCATCATGGTCAACCGAAGCAAAAATGAAGAAAAAATAACAGCTCATTAGTAGGGTCATGTTATAGGTGGTTTCAAAGGAGAAGCGGGCGCCTTTCAGATTTAATTGGCAAATAATTTGATTTATGATTGTTTATCCACAATCTTTTCAAATGCGGAATATCGATATCGATTATTGATATCGATAATGATTCATTAGATTTTTTTATAGTGCATTTGATTTTTTTCAGCTAAATATTATTTTTCAACCTCTATAATATAAGTTTTGGGCCGGGATAGCCTGGTCGGTAGGGCGCTGGGCCCATGTCCGAGAGTTCATGGGTTCGAACACCGACGGCCAAGACTCCCCCTGTAGTTGGTGACTGATTAACGTTAAAATTCTGTCGAGTTGCAAAGTCCTCCATGTTCCCATAACAAATCAATACCTCTGGGGGTACTGGATTAGAGATCGATCGTCCTCTAATTCAGATCAAAATTATGATATGTGGATGAATGAATGGATATATGAATGGGTCCGCTTTATAAACAGGTGTGACGCATGATGTGGCAGAAGTCGAATTCTTGGCCATAGATGGCGCCACTGAAAAACAAAAATTGCACACTATGCCTTAAATTTGCTCGCTTTCACCAAGCAGGCTTGCCCATGAGGCAAGTGGCATAAGAACCAACCAATAAGTTTTTGTACTAGTAATTTTGAATATTATTTTAAACACTCAAGTGATAGAAACTAAAACTAAACTAATTTTTCTTAAAAAAACTCTCGTTTACTAGACACTCTGTATGCATTTTAAAACTTGTTGTTTATACTTTCATCAGTAATTGAGAGTAATCATAAGGTTCCTCTGGATCTTACAAATTTTTAGCATAAGTAGTAATTCCCTGTTTAATGAAGCCATTTCAACATTTAGAAGTCAGGCAACTCGAAATTCCCATACATATCGATGGTTCCAAACTAAAACGACACATCTGCAGGCATAATACGTTTGCAGATGCGTCGTTTTAGTTTTGAACCAGCGATATATATTTCCTAGAAAAAGAAATGAGTAGTGATCGTCGCAAATGTTTTTGAAAAAATATCGTCGTCTGTTTTATTCCCTTCTCCACGTTTTGCAATTTGTATGACCCATAGAATTTCTATGTGTAATAATTTTAATCTTTTTCTTCAAATATAATTTAAGGATATCTAAATAATTGTCATCTTTCTTTCCTTTTTCGCTTAATCAAAGAAAAAGTTCTTACCAAAAGAGATCTCGTACAAAATACTCTTTCCTATCAAAAGAGATGCTGACGGCAGATACAGGGCTAAATATAATGAGCAGTCTCTCGACCGAAACTTTAGTGACCCTAGTTTTCTGCATCCAGAACCTGTTGGTTTATATGAAGGGCCTGCTGTATTTTTTTGGGGTACCAAATCTAATATGGACATGTAAGTAAAATATACTTTTTTTAGATTCTGTCACAAATGTTGAAATTTTTTGTTACAATCTAGCTACTATCTCGGACCTTACAGCTTAAAAGGTCTCTTTCCACTACAGCTTGGATTTTAGGCTAAGTATTTGATTATCCTTTTCTCGACGTTATCTTTTTTTAATAAAAATTTTGATTGAAGATTGATTGATTGATATACATTTTTGATGAAAAGCCATGTTTTGGCAACCACGCCTAAAGCAAGGTAAAATAAAAATAACTAGATGAGATTCTAACCACTCCATTAAAATCAAATCAACTAAATCAACTATCAATTCAATGAAAAGAACTCCCCTCGCCATTCATCTGGATCAGTGGCGGTGGCTATGGTTGTTCAGCTATTTTAAGTAGGCCTTTTTGAAATGCGCTATTTCTTGCTTCCATAGCAACAGGAGGCGACGGGACTTCTTTCTATAGACAAACTATAGGTATAAACTAGTTCAAAATCAGGATGTCTATGTTAAAATTAAAGTTAAATTGTTATATGAAATTTATATTATAGTCTGAATGTAAAATTTAAATAAAAGGAAAATATCCCGGGTCCTTGAATTAAAGTATTAGATTTGGAGGAGGAAACTCTCCAAATTTAGTAGATAAATGAGAAAATTTACACTTAAAGTATTCACATGTCATGAGTTTAAATTTCGGACACTGACATTACATATGTTTAACCATTAATGTTAAGTGGCATGAGGGACAAGTTGGTGCTGATTCATTAAGAAATGGGAGGTTATGTGTAATGTGTTATGTGTGACCAATACGTAATCTATTTATGACGACTTCTAGCTTTTTGCTACAGTTTAAAGATTTGTACGGTAGTACGATACTGAAAGAAAACACAAATAATCAAGATCAAAAGGATAAAACTTCTTTGAAAAAACTTCTTTGAAAAAAACGCGCTAAAAAGCAGCAGAAATTTCAGAAAAAAGTATCAATACAAGAAACAAATGAAATAAAATAAAAATATGACGACCGAAGCCGACGTCTTCAGGGGGTACCGGCCCCGGTAGCCATTAAAAACAAAACCATTTCTATTTGAGGGAGAAGCAAAAGCTTAAAATATCTCCCTCAGTACCCCGATGGTTTTGTATAGAGGTCCAGGAAAAACAAGATACATTCAAAAGAATAAACAAATTACGAAAAGAAAATCAATAAAAATCATCAGAAAATTAAAAACTCACAGTCACAGGTCAAGAATCAACTTCAAAAGCGGAGGAAAAGAAAACACTAAAAACTGAAAAACAACGCCCCCTATAATAATGCGCAGTAAAAGTTTAAAAATGATATGAAAAGGTCAGGAGAAGGAGATACGTAGATAAATTAATAGAATGCTTAACTGGGGCTGCTCAGTTAAGACTAGAATTGCGCCCTGTTAAAAGAAAAAATATATAAAAACTTAAAAACCATCAATCATTTTTTTAATTAAAAAATTAACATTACAAAAATTAAAAGGAAAATCATTTTTACTCAAATTATTTAAAAAATTATCCACAGCTTCCCGAAAACTTTCAACATTATTACAAATTTTCTTGATCCTAACTAATTGCGAAAAAACAAGATTTTTGAATATTTTACTACACAAATTAGTTTTAAAGTTGCAGAAAAAAATAACATTAAAATTAAAGGCTTTTCTTTTATCAAACACACCAATTTTAATAAAATTGTTAACAATATCAATTTTAAAATCTAAATATTCAATATTAAAGCAATTTTCATTAGTTTTTTTCAGGACCAAATCACCAGGATAAATTGTATAAATAAAATTATAATCGTCACAATTAAACAAAATCAAATCATCAATGTATCGGAAAGCATTAAGTACTTTATGTTCAAGAAATTTAGCCTCAAAAAAGTGCAAAAAAATGTTGGCAAAAGCCCCAGAAAAGGAATTACCTTGTGGAATTCCAATAATTTGTTTATAAAAATCTAAACCATTAAAAAGAACATTCTCAAAAAGATTAAACTTGCATAAATCTAACCAGTTAAACCTATCAATTTTTTCATCAAATAAATACTTGTCATAAATACCTTCACAAATCTCAATAATTTTTTCATGTGGTATGCTGGTATACAAATTTTCAAAATCAAAAGTGTTAATGCTGGAAATATCATTACTTTTAATAAAATCCAAAACTTCAACATTACTTTCAATAATAATATTTTTCTCTTTTTTAATTTTAAGCAAAATAATTTTTAAAAAACAAAAAAACCTTTTACTAATATCAGAATTATAACTATTAGTACCACATGCTATAAACCTAAATTTAATCGGATTTTTATGAAATTTAACTATTGGAAATAAATATGGAAATGTAATCCTATTTAATTTAAATTTTAATTTTTTACTAAATGCAATAATTCTTTTTTCAATAACTTTTTTATCTTCTTTTAACTTTAAATAGGTATTATTTGCATTATATTCCCCAATAATCAATTTTTTAAAAAAATATTTACACATAATACAGAAATTATTTGAAGCTTTATCTACAACAGTAACAATGAATTTATCCTTAAGATTTTTAATTTTTCTAGATAAATCATAATCAATAAAAGTACCTTTAGGAAATGAACTAAAACTGGTATTAAATAAATTAAATCTAACCCTTTCAATAATTTTAGCTTTCCACTCAGAAAAACCTTCAACAGGCCAATGATATTTTCTGGAAATTTTTGCAATAAAAAAATCTAGATCTTTTTTAATGGATAAAATAAAATCTTCTTTTTTCATCTTAACTCTGGTTCTAAATTTTGAACCCTTACTTAAAATGCTAATTAGATCCTGATCACCCACAATTTCCAAATTTCCGGTAATAACATGTCCATAATCATTATCAATAAATTTTGAAAAACCCTCCTCATTACAATAACAATCAGATTTAGAAATACAATTAAGATTTCGACTTAAAAAATTATAATTACACACCTTTTTCCTAAGTGTAGAAGAATATTTAAAAGCAGCAGTAACTCTAATTTGTTCTAAAGGAAAGAAATCAGAAAGACCATGAATAATCTGTGGTAACTTAGCATTTTCAAAATTCTTATCATGAAAATTAATCGTACAAAAAACCCTTTCGACTTTAGAAACATTATTAAAAAGCAAATCAGTTTTATTAACACCAATTTTTGATTTAATTAAATCCAAAACTATAAATTTAACAAGTTCAGTATCAAATTTAATTTTAGAACCAAATTTAATAAGGAAATTTTTTAAAATTTTATTTTTAAAACCAAAAATATATTTCCTAATAGTGAAAATATTATTCAAATTAACAGGTAAGTTACAAAAATTCGAAAACTCATCAAACTCAATAAATTTACCCTTACCTTTTCCACCTCCCCTTTTACTTCTAAATTTTGAATCACAAACACCAGGAAAATCAAAAACTTTTAATTTATTATAAATACAAAAATCTTCAGTATTAACAGTACCTTCCCCATTAAATTTACTATTTAATCCATAAGGAAAAAGAGTCTTAAGACTACCAATGTAAATATTTTCTAAATCAAGTCTTTTATCTAAATTTTCCATAAAATCCAAAATAAAAAGAGTAACATTATTAAAATCATGAAATTGAAAATGTAAAATTTCATAATCCGTGGAACAATTACTATTATTAAATTTTTTTTTTTTTTTTTTTTTTTAAGGAGAAATTTTTTTTTAAAGATAATTTTAAAGGAGAGACAATTAACTGAATAGTTAATTATCAGTTTGATATAAAAAGATATTTAATTATTTTTCATATTAAAATGTGGTTGGTAACATCACTTAATTTTTTAATTTAAAAAAAAAAACTTTTCTAGAGAAAACCTTAAAAGGAATACTATACATTACTTTTAAAAATCAAAAATGGTTATAATTTGTCATTTAGACTTGAAATAAAGACTAATAATTAGTTTCTCCATAACTGATTATGCTGCTATTTTTAGGGTACTTTTTTGTACTAAGTCAATACTAATTTGCCTAAGCCACCAAACAAAGGAGATACTTCAACTTCACCAGGACAAGTGCTTTTATAAGTAAAATCGCTATAATGTGTCACCTTAAATTGTTGTTTTTCCTTTCTTGTTTTTCTATATTAGCATTTTGATAACATATTTTTCTTAAAGTTCTCCGGAAAACAGATTTTGAAATCGAGTGTGACATCATTCATATTCATCACCTTTACAGCTCATAATTACTTTTATCACTCTTTATTTTTTGCATATACCATCAAAAGAACTATTCTCTGAATATGAATATTTTACACTGAGTATGAATATTTTACTGAGGATATGAATTTTTTACATCCTAACTATGTATCTACGTGAGCTAAACTTAAAATGCAAAAAATCTCAATTTTGAAGAATAGTAGAAATAACTGTTTTTCAGACTCATTTATTGAATCATTCAGTTACCAATTTCGGATAGGCATTTTAATACTGTACATTTTTTGTGTTTATATATTTAATAATTAGAAAGTTATTTTTATTATTATTTAAATTTAAAATAAAAATTGATTTTGCTGATTTTGAATTATTGCTTTAATGTAAATTATTAAAAAACAAAAGTTATTTGTCAAAAATCTAAAAACCGACAAATGAATATTAGTAAACAATCCTCAAAACAATTGCTGTTTACAGAATTGTATTGATCTTATTTTGAGGAAAAAAATTCTAATAGTTATATTTTTAATATGTTTTTAGGAAGATTCTTAGAATGTAGCTTGTAATTAATTTACAACTTGATCCCCAATTTCTGAATTTTTTAGTTCCACTAATGTTTGTATTTTTAATATGTTTTTAGGATGAGTCATGTGCCTGAAATTAAAAAATATTTTCCAAATGCTGAATTCATTGAATTTGAAAACGGTTATCATAATCTACATGGGCAGTTCGTGGAAAAATCGGTCGATACAGTTGTACAAGTTTTGGATAAATACAATATTTCTTGATCCAATATGAAAATTACTATGAATAAAGTTATGTTATGGAATATTTAGTTAGTCTGCTTCATATTTTACACAATTATAATTTTTGAAATGTAAACTGCATTACGTTAAAATAGTGATCATGGGGCAGGCTCAGTTGTCAGCTTGCGAAATGCGAAATGGGTCATATTTGATAGTTAGCAACTTTATGACTTATAGACATTTGTTTCTAAACAGGAAATTAATATATGTAATGTTTTAAATTATTAATATTTTTAATATTAATATTTCATCAAATTAAATAATTTAAAACTTTAAATTTTAACATTAATGCTTTATTAATATTATATACTAATATTTATATTCCAAGGTATCTTCAACATTTACTTCCACATCAATAAAATTGAAGTCTCACGGGAATAGTCTACTATCTGCTAGATATTATAATACTGTCAAAACAAAATATAACAGGCAAAATATAAATATACTAAGAAATTAACCCTGTCTAACGAGCAAAAAAATATTTCGTTGAGTGGAAGTAAAATTTTAGAGCAGCGTCATTTTGTTTTTATCACATTTTTCTATTATCTGAAACTGACAAAACATAACTCTACTAAAGCACTTAACCGGTTTAAAATTCAGGAAAAGTATTACGTTAAACGTAAAAGTTTATGTTACGCTCTAAAATTTAATTTGATTGAATATTAAATCAAATAAAATTTTAAAGCACCATCAGTTTGTTTTATATAAATTAGTTGTCTGAAACAGATTAAATATACAGTAAAGCAGAGAAGAGTATAGAATGCAGAATGGATTAGTTTTACAAATTTGTAAACTTTAAAAAAAATATTTAATATTATTTTTCACTAATGAAGTATTTTTTAACAATAATTTGCACGTTTACCCAGATTCTGATTTAAACCCTGAATTAGTTGTTTAGTTTTTTCAAAATATTTTTTTAAAAAAAGAGTTATTAGAACCAATACACAGAAAAAGTGTGGAAAAGCTATGATGCCCTAGTCTGAGAAAACTTAAAAGCTTCTTTAGTCAGCAGTTATTACAACAGTTATTACATCGTAGGTGTATCTAAAGCAGATATGAAATTTGACCTAATCATATAATTCAAATTTAATTACCATATAATTCATAATATTTAAAACTAAGCTTGTTCGGAAAATAAATATCAATTATTGATTGAAACAAAAATAATTATAACAAAAACAAAAGTTAATGATGCTGAAAACTGAATTTCAGATGTTTTTCATATAGAGTGCAATACAAATATACAAAAAAAAAAAAAAAAACAATCAACACACAGCATTTACTAACATAATTTAGGGTAAAATAGTTGCTTAAATAAAGTAACTTTATGAACTACATTTATGAAGACTTGTTCGAAAGAGTAAACTACATGCATGGACATATTGAAAAGTAACAGAGTAAAAAGATTTGCTAAAATTGAAAGAAAATTAAATTGAAAGTTTTTAGTACATATAATATGAAGATTTAAATCCATAACTGACAAATGTTGAAAAAAAAACTGTATACAAATTTTTTTTAAAGATTTTTCAATCCCTAAAATTACTATTAATTTTGAGTCTCCAATAAATAAATGAAATTATTACTCTATAACGTTCAGTAAATTCTCGCAAACGTGGCAAGAATTTCCCTTAAAAACGATATTAAGAAATAAATTTGTTCTTTTCATTAAAATCAGAGACAAAAAATCGTTTTTAAAAATGGTTTCTGTTTTGAAACCATTTATTGCAATAAATGCGTCATAAAAGCATATCAAATTCAAAATGTCAAGGCTGAAATACGAATAAAGTCGGTAATTCTTATTTGAAAACTTAATATGTAAACTGAACTGAAGTCTCTAATATTAATAATAATTTTGTACATTTAAAAAAATATTACTATCATACTATGTTACAGGATAATTTCTAACAAAAGTGGTCAGGATTCTTCCTTCTAAGCGATATTTAAAAACAAATTTATTATTTATAAGTGTAATAACAATTGAAAAAATTTTTAATTATAAAAGAGTTACCTCCTTTTTTAATCACGCTTATAAAAAATTATGAAACTTTTTTTAAAAAATTTTGAAGTGTACGCTGAGGAAAAAAAGGTCAAAACTCATAAAAAGTAGTAAAATTTACCGTGCTTCTGGCCTAATAAATACACCAAAGTGCTTGGGTAAAATTAACAATAAAATATGGCTTTGTTATCTGTGATATATTTTGTTAAGTGTGGAAAAATTTGATTATTTCATCATGATACCTTAGAGTATGGCATAACAACCATTAATTTGGTTAAATTTAATTTTCAATTTTGTATTTATCACTAAATGTGTGATAATAAGAACTATTATTTTGACAAATTTTGATTTTCGGCAGACTTATATCATATGAACAGGAAAATCATCAAGTAAAGGGTTTAAATACCATAAATATTTATTTTTTATTAACCAGAATTATAAATTTTTTTTAATTTTTTTTTCTCTCCATGAAGAGTAAAGATTCTTCTCGCTTTCCCAAAAGTGAGATTTCTAAAGACTCCTTATTTTCTTCATCGAAACTGCATTCATCTTTTTTTTTAGGTACCAATCTACTTTGAGATCAGAAGACTCTCTCAGCTGCTATTCAACAATCTCCGTGATTGCCAGAGCATTTTTTCTTCTTGAAAAGCATTTCTAAAAATAAAAAATATACATATAATTTTGTTTACAAAGTAAAAATTCATTATAATTTAATTAAGCCCATTTTTTTAAATTTGTTTGTATTATTATGTTCCCGGATTGGAAAAATAATTTAGGTAACTGCAGATTGATCAACTTATCAAAATGAGACATCAAAACTCTTTTTTATTTTAATTAAATGATCAATCTCAGTAAATATTACATAACTACTAAATAGACACAAGTAAAAAGATTGAGAAGAAATATACAAAAGAAAATTTTGATTTTTATCACAGACAATTGCATAAATAATAAAATATGCTATGAGGAGACATTATTTCGCGTAAAGATGATAAAATTGCGATTATAATAAAAAAATTATATAAAATTAAATCTGTCTTATTATAATAAAAAATTCTTTAGACTTAAATTAAATGTATGATTAAATTTATGAAAATATCACACAGGCTCAATATAAACAAAACCAAAGTAATAATGAAAAATCAAAACTCAGATACTTAAAACTAAATGATGCAGTATATATTAAATCAAGGAATAAATATAACAAAATGTTTATGGGTCCTTTCCAAGTAATAAAAAGTATACAGATGAGACTTATTCAATTCAAATTCTGGAGTTTCACCACTGAAAAATTTTTAAAATACATATTAAAAAATTATTATTAATGAATAAAAGAGAAGAATATTTAAATAATAATGTCTCAAGGAATAAATCATATTATAAATTAATAAAAATTAATAATAAGCCAATAATAAATCTCATTATAAATTAAGGAATAGAATCGTTTAGATAATTTTTTTAATGCTGTGAATGAAGGCATTTTTTAAACAATTATATAGAGTAAAATACTTTTTTCATTCATATAAACATCCTTTCTTTTCAAGTGTGTCATGAATATATATTACTTGTTTTACATTTCAAGTATATAATTTTTTTAGTTACTATATATGATAATGAATAAATATTTACATGAAAGAAACTGCTTGCACTATGAACTCATAAATTTGTTTTCTTTAAACTGCAACCCTTGTGCACAATGGATGCTAACACAAAGTATTTTGGAATTAGTTAGTAAATAATTAATATTTTTTGAAGTATTTTAAAAGATATTTTTATACAATAGTGATTCGTGATTAATACTCTTATTTATATGAATATTCTTGAATTTCAACACTATGGTCACATTTCAAAAATACTTATACATTATCAATCTTTTTGATACCTGTTTCATAAATTAATTGAACTTTGTCTCAGTGTTACTGTTATTTTGCATGGAGGCATCCTTGCGGAAGGATTTAAAGTGATTTTCTTTACTTCGGTGATAGCTAATTAAAAATTCCTTAAGTGATATTGCGATTTTTTATTCTTAATCTATAAAAAAAAAACATAAGTAACAATTAATTCAATAGCAATATTTTTTTAAATTTAATTTTACAATAGCTGTAAAGATTGAATACAACTTAAGTTTTAATCATGTAACAACGAACTGACGGGAACAATGTTGGACATATTACTTTACGTCCTTATTTTTGCTGTAAATTGAAATGAGAAAATATACTATATTTCCTGTGCATAAGAATATGGTTATTAAATCTAAGAAATCCATATGTTACGGTGAAATGACATGACATGACAGGTATGTTTTGACAGTGTCAAAACATAGAATGTATACCCAAAAGGGGAAAAAGCAATACAATTGAATCTTTTAAATTGTATTGCTTTTTCCCCTTTTGGGTATACATTCTATGTTTTGACACTGTCAACTTTTACTTTTATACTTGTCATTGCCTTTGACCTTTTATCTGATGCTTTTACTTTTAACTGCCTGTATTGTTTATGTTTTGAGTTGTTGTTGTCCACTCTTGGACCTGAGTTCAAACAGTCCTGGCCTATGTGCTGCTTTGAGCAGCCAACTAATTGCTGAAATACGTAAGGATTTGTATCATAATATAAGGGTCCGTTGACCTTTAGACTTAATATTTTCTTAATTTATTAGGATCCCTTGACCTTATTTCAATTCGGTGGTTCCCCTTTTTTGTGTTTTAAATGTTTAATTATCATTATCCCTTGTGGCATATTTTGAACAACTTGTAGTGTATCCCTTGCTGAAATCAAATTGTCGGGCTGATGCCATGTAACTTATTATAAACTGATCTGAATTTTAACAAATGCCACGTTGGGGCTTCGCCGGGTTCCCCGACCGACACTGATTGAGCCTGCGCCCCCCCTTCTGGGTGGGCCTGCCGCGGCGATGGTACAGATTTTTAACGCATACCCTAAATTAATAGGTTGGGTCGTTATATATATTACATACATATGTTACGGTGAATGTCAACATTCATGGAGTAGCTTGGTGTATGTCCGAAATA